ACTGAAGCCCTTAAGCAACACTGCTACTCTGTGTTCTCAAACTGTGCCTGTCACTGTGGCACCTGAGCACCCTCCAGTTTTGGGGGTTATTTTCTATTGTACATTTAGTGTCAGATGACATCCAGGTGATTTGGTCACCAGGTGACACTGGCACAACTGGCACACAGCCCAGCCCAACCCATCAGTCTTGGGTTGTGCTGCAGGTCCTGCTTGTTGGCCAGTTTCCCCAGTACAGCTGAAACGCTGACTAAATAACAAGGTGCTTTCAAAGTCTGAGACGCAGCTGAGCTTCCCAGGGCATGCAAAACGCAAAGAGCAAAAGTCTGTGGAAGGTGTGGAAGCAAGGCAGTGATCCCAAGCCCTGCACGTGCTGCTCGGGTGTGGCAGAGGCACCGGGGGCTGCTGTGGCGGCAGATGGGCCTGGTCCTGCAGAGCAGTTTTGGCTCTGTTTGTGAAACAGCTTTGCTTACTGATTCACAGAAGTCCTCTGGCAGCCGTGCTTGTAGTGTTAGAGACAAAACGTAGCTGTAGTGAACTAAGGATTTATATGATGGTTTGTCATTATTACCTTGGGAAAGGGCAAGAAAGGTGAAATTTCCTTATGACTTACCTGTGCTCACTAGTGTTGCTAATAATTTATGGTGTTGAAGTTGTTTATCCTCGCATCATCTCCCTTGTCCTCTCAAACTGCCTGCAGTAACAGTTGTGCCCCTAAGAATGATACAGTTTCCTGTTCGTGCCAACAGTAATCAACAGATTTGACTCCCTTTGGGGTAGGATGAATCCAGAGTGCTATCCAAGGATGCCTAAGTAGTGCATGTAAAAATCCTTTGTGAAGCCCTTTTGAAGCTGATCTTGTGGACGTGTGAACAGACCAGATACTGGTTTTACATTGGTTAAATTTTCCTTTTAATATTCACAGCATCTCTTTGTCTTCTAGTTTGTTTTATTTATCGGTCACTTCACTGGTGCCTGAGCACTGTCATTCATCCCTGTCTGTGTAGAGAACCAGAACAAGGCCCGTGGATTTTTGGGTGCTGTAGCAGTGCTTGATTTGGGCCCTGCAGCTTTGCCAGATCTGGTGCAGGGAGGTGCTGGACTGCAGACACAAACCACAGGTCTGACAATGGTTGTGATTAAAGACCAGAACTCATTTACGTTCAGGCACTGTTGTGACTGGATTATTGATCAAAATGCATAAACCAAACTGTGCTGCTGAATCCTGTTAAGTTCCCCACGTTGACGAGGATGGCTGTAACTGTTATTTTTATTCTGTGCCAGCTATGAGGTGAATAGACTCATCTTCTGTAAAACTTGTCTAGTAAGAGTGGGGTCCATCAGTACCTGCCATGCCTCCCTCACGTGAGCAGCGTTCAGATGCAAAGCTGTGCTGCTTCATGGTGTTTACCTGACCTGATCCACTGATTCTATCTTGTCTAATTAGCCTGAGTCTCAGTGTCAGTAATGAAGGCCTGCAGCATCCGTAGGCTATGGTCAAGCAATGTGGTGTCATCTGTAGATTTCAGAAAGTGATGAGAAGAAATAAGACCTTAAAAAAACCCACTGTTTAATTCCCTGCTGTTCCTCCAGCTGCAGCAGGGCCTGTCTGTAGGGAGGCTTGTCCAGGGAGCCATCAGGGCATTTTTATTTGCAGGAGTGGCCACAAAACATGTCTTGGAATAGTGATTAAAAATGTCCAGCATTTGGAACTTGTTGAGTAATTGGAGCTCTGTCTTAACCGTTGCCAAGAGGGATAGTGATTTTTTGTAAAGTGTCTCGCTCATTAGTTGTAGATGAGAATTTGGAAAGGGTGAATGGAATTATAAATGTCAGTGTGTTTGTAATTGTCAGAGAATCCACACCTGTTCCACTGCTGTCATTTAAGTAGTAGTTTAAGAAGCACTCAGGGTTGTGCAAACCAAACCAGTCTGTAAGGGGGTTGCAGCACAGGGTTTGGGAATGCTGCTGCATGGTAGCTGATGTGTTTGGGGGCTGTTGCTTGTTCTGGTTGCCACCTGCTGTGGGAGCTGGCATGGGAGGGGAGACAGCGCGTGGGCCCTAACGAGAGTGGTGATAATTACAGCGTGGTTGCATGGGCTCTATTTTATGTGTGACGTTGCAGGAGTCGCCTGTCTTTGGAACACAGCAAAGGCAGCCCCTCAGCCCGGCAGAGGAGCTGCACTGAGAGCAGCAGGGGCAGTGTGGGTGCCATGGCATGGAGGGCAGCTGTGCCAGCAGCGGGGCAGCCCCAGGGGCAGCCCCAGCTCTCTGCACAGACAGACAGAGGTTTGCAGCCTGGCACAGCCCTGCCTCATGGCTCACACAGGGCAGCCCCAGGGGCAGCGCCAGCTCTCTGCACAGACAGAGGTTTGCAGCCTGGCACAGCCCTGCCTCATGGCCTCACGCAGGTGCTGGAGTGGGTTTGCCTTTAACAGCTGGGTTTGTGTCCTCCCGCTGCCACCGTGGCCCTGCCGGCGAGGGAGATGGATGGAGAGCAATCCTCTGGTGACCCAGATCTGCTCTGTGGGCCGTGGGTGGAGCTGCTGGGGTGTGAGTAAGTGGCACTGACCTCCTTAGGTGCATGGGCAAACAGGAAGGAGAGGTGGTGCGGAGGATGGCACATCTCTGAGTCACCGGGCCTCGGACCCGCTGCGTGCGAGGGGGAGTGCTGCTGTCAGAGCCCTTGGCTCCTGGCGCCAGCCTCACCTGCCAGAGCTGTTCTGGGAGGTGTCCTCTCCCAGGAGAAGCCCTCAGTCCCTGGTCAGGGTCCCTTCAGGTGTGCAGCTTGCCTGTGCCGTGTGCCTGTTGGCTGAGCCGGGGTGTAGGAGCAGGAACAGAGGGAGGGCTGCGCCCAGGACCCATCCAAAACTCTGCCCTGGCTCCTGCAGCAGCTGCTCAGATCTGCCTGCAAGGAAAATACAGAGGCGCTGCAGCAATGCAGGGATGAAGTGTCTGCTCAGAAATCTCCTCCTCATCCCTGGCACACAGCTCTGGCTGTGGCTGCAAGACATAAACCTGCCTGTTGCCCTCTGGAGCTGCTGTCCATGTGTCATCACAAAGGCTTGGGAAGAGCTTTGGGGTCCTGCATCCAGCAGTCGTGTTGTTAATAATAATAATCCTGTCTTGAGATGCAGCATCCTTCATTTCGGTTTGCAGAAAATAATGACACTTAATCTCAAAAGCATATTTCCCACAATTCTTTTTAATTTCAAATTTTTTTAAATTTAGGCACTGCAGAATTAAATTTGAAATTAAAATTTAACAAGTTTTAATTTCTCAAGTTATTTTAATTTTTGGAAGGATCATTTTCTAAGTAACAAACACACCATGGTATTTCAGGGTCTCTGGGGTTTCTGGAATCCACTGGAATCATTAGAAATATCTCATTTGTTTCCTGAACAACAGAGACTGGTTAAAAATTAAAAATAGGAAAAGCAAAAGACATGGCCAAACTAAACACCAAGTGATTGCAAGTCGTACTTCAGTTATTGTAAAATTGAATTTCTTGTGTCCTTGGGAGTCATATCAAGGAATTAAACCACATCTGCTTACCTGGTGACAGCCAGCATGGGGCAGTGACTGGCCTGGGCATGGCTCTGCTTTTCCTTGCTTTGTTGTACTGTGAGTTCCAGTTGGTTGCTGCCTTTTTGCTTTGCATTTTGGGGGTTTTTTTGGTGGTTTGTTCGTTGTTTATTTTCTTCTGAATTTCTTTTTTGTCTTCCTGATTTGGATCATTCCTGCTCTCTGCCCCAGTGACTGTTTGTACTTTGTCCAGAGTGTGGTGCTTCAGGAGGCTGACTCTGACAGGTTGGTGCAAACAGCCACGTTCCAGCCCTAGTTTTGATCACAGATTAAGGCCTGATGTCTTTTTTTATCTGGAGCCTGAAGTGCAGTTATCAGTGTGAAATGATAAATGTAAATACCAATGCATGTTCTCGGTTTCCATGATTGCTCCAGGCATGTTTCCTATTCTGGGAAGTATTTCTGTCTAGAAGTTCATCCCTACCCCTGCAGGCAGGTTGAGCAGTGGTGGGTGGCGCAGTGAGGATGGGCTCCTTGCCTCGAGCCCCTGTGCTCATGAGGGTGAGGTCCCCTGCCAGGACACAGCAGCACTCCGTGGCACTGGCAAACACCCACGGCCTCACGCTCGCGGGGAGCCAGGGACGGGCTCTGGTTCACCTTGCAGGCTTTACCTTGGTTCAGCTCCTGGTGCGAACTTTGAGTTTGAGATCTTGAGAGGCTGAAGCTCTGGGAGCCTGAAGTCCTTGTCCTGTGGCTGCCCCCATTTGCACCAGTCCCCTGGGGACTGGTCATGGTGAGACCCTCACCTCGCTCTCCCGGCGCTGAGCACAGTCTGTTAGCATCTCGGGGCTTTGGGTCAAGCCCCTTGTGATTTTAGCTTGTGTTTGGGGAAAGCAGGACTGTGGTGCTGTGCTGAGCNTCTGTGTGGGCTCTGCCCTGTGTGTGCCTGGCCAGCGGTGCCGCGCAGCCTGCGGCCGCTCCCCGTCCCTGAGCCGGACGTGCTCGGGGAGCACCGTGAGTCAGCAGCTCCTCGGGGCTGGGTTTCCTCATGCACCCTGTGCCAGGGCCATTGCATTGGCTCTGGCTGCGAACCAGCAGCAAAGTGGAGCGAAAGATCTGCAGACAAAGGGCTTTTCTTTATTAGTTATTAATGTCGTTGAACTGAACCACTCCGAAATTGTTGGTAGCTGAGATTTGTGTTTGCATCAGGGGATTCCTGATGGGGTTTTTGCCACCCTGCACTGCTTCGCTTCTTCCTTTAAGGAACTGTTGATAATACCCTGAAATATTTTGAGAAAATACAGAGAAATGCAGCTTTAAGGCTCAGCTGCTGCTTAAGCAACTTCCCTCCTATTTTGGAGTCAGTCAGATCGTTTGCTCACTCACGCTACTCGTGCTGCAGAAGTTGAAAGCAAACTGTGGATGTGAGTCTCAGGCAGCCCTGAGAAGAGTGCTGTGTGGATGTGAAACCCTTCCTGATGACCGAGTTTCACATGGTGCTTTTGTGAGCGCTGCAGGGTCAGAGGCTGGGGCTGCAGCCCCAGTGCTAGAGCTCGGTCCAGAGGGTGGTTTCTGCAGGTGTGCATTCAGGACCGTGTTTACCTTGGCAGCTGGCTGCTTGACCTGGCTCGTGCTCTCCAGGGGAGGCTGGGCTGTGTTCGGGCTGCTGCTGCAGCTGAACTTCAGGAAATTGTGTCAGCTGGATCTGGGTCAGTGTTGCTGTGCGGTCACAGGTACCAAAGGGCATTCAGAATCGGGAGTAAGAGTTTTGTTGCCTTTTGTGCTCTCTGTAGTTTTTGCACCATACCCTTCAAAATCAAAAGATGGGTTAGAAAGTATGCCAGTAGTGGCAGGGCCGGTCTGGGGTGGCCAGGGCTGGGCAGCTCTGTGCCTGGTGGGGCCCTGTTCCCCATGTTATGTCAATACAGATTGTCTTGAAGATCACTGGGGGATTGAACATAACCTGGTCATTCCAGATGGCAGCATACATACTCTTCTCTCTAATTTCCTAAATACATGTTCTGACTTCAGTGTTTCAGTCGAGCCAGAGCTTCTCCTGGGAGAGGCTCTGTTGGGATGTTTCTTAGAGCTTCCTCTGAATTACCTGATTGTATAAGACAGAACACCCAACTGTCCATGTCCTTCCCCTAATCCCTCCCTTGATAAATTAAGGTTTTATTTTCCAGATATTTGTATATTACTGTGCCGAGGTTGCTGCACCACCTTTGGTTGCAGCTCCTCAGAGGTTGTCAGGAGCGGGATCTGCTGAGCCTCACGGATGGTGGGTTTGGAGATATTTGATTAAGGCTGCGCAATGTCTAGATGCCAGGGCCACTGGCGCCACAGGACTTGTATAAATAAATTTTGTTTGTGCCATGTTCGCGCAATTAAAGCCAGAGCCCTGGATTGCGTTTGATGAGGTTTATTTTGCTAGTCGGGCCACACAGATTTCATTTACTTTGTCTGGTGTTCTGAAAACATATAGGAGCATACATCAAAGCCAAGTTTAAGAGCTTGATTAAAATCCACAGCAGTAAAGAGGTGCCCTGATGTGTTTGTATCAGTGCAGTGTCCATTGAGCTGGGGTTCACTCGGGATAGTGTGCAGGTATTTTAACTTAGGGATCCTGCCCCGCGCTGGTTGTAGGCTGCTCTCAGGGAAGGTCAGGGATGCGCCGTTGCTCACTGTGGGTGTTTCTCTTTCAGAGGAGAATGAGAAGCATGAGAAGCTCTGCGTGGAGAGGGAGCAGGAGCAGAAGAAGGCGGGCAAGGCCAGCGTGCCCCGGGCCAACAGCGCCCTGTCCCCAGAG